GACTTCCTGTAGAAGGGGCCACCCACTTGGTGTTAGTGGATGGGTGGGGCTTGGCTAAGAGAAAGGAAGAAAATGGGCAGGTGTCACAGGTGGGAGAAGGTGACAGCCAGGGCCCTGTGTGGGCAGAACTGTGTGACATGTGGAGGAGGCTGGTCTGATGGGGCAGAGGCTCGTGTCCTGGGGAGGCGTGGCAGGGGAGGAGGGAGCGCAGTCATGGCAGGCCTCGGATGCCAGGCTGAGAGTGTGGCCACCCTGTGGAGCGACAGAGAATGGGCCCTTACCACATGTGTCCCTTGCTTGGGAGCGAGACATCGGGGAGGAAGGCGGGACTTGGAAAGGGCATTTTGCCTGTCTCTGGAAAGAGGAGGCGGGCCATTGCCTGCTGTGTCTGCCAGCCATCTTCTCACTGGCGGTCCACGGCAGGGGTGGTAGGCCGTAGCCCCTCATGGGCACACCAGAACATATCTGAGACTGGATCATTGTCCCTAGAATGTGCTAGAGAAACTTGGATCAGTGCAAGCGTGTTTTTCTGCTCCGCCTTCCTACCCCGGGTGCTGAGGGCCTGCCTAGTGCCCGGGCTCCTACGGAGGAGGTCCTCCTGGGGAGGCCCTCTAGGGGCTCCAGGGTTGGGTAAGGCAGAAGCCCCTGAGAAAGGACAGGGACAGGTGCTGAGTGCTCTCGGAGAAAAGGAAACTCCCGAAGCCGTAATTGCTGGTTTCCGTGGAGCTGCGGAGCTCTCCCTTGGGCAGGGCACAGGCCTCCAGCAGCTCACTTAACAGGGCCACGTTTTCATAGGAAGACAAAAATGTGCCCTGACCAGATTCCCATGTGAGCTTCAACTTCGAGGATGATCAAAGGAAGAGAGTCTCTGCTCAGTTGAACAGAGGGCTGCCGAGTGACAGCAGGCAAGACACCAGGCGGGGCACTTGGGCGTGCAGAGATAAAGAGCTGCAACCCTGCCCCCAGTCAGGAAGGTGCTGGGTGGAAGGTTCAGGTTATAGCCCCTTGTCGCTGGCTTGTAGGGAATAGGGACCAGTGGGAGGAAGGTCCGTGTTTAGATCCGGGGAAGCCTCGAATGCGATGACTTTGGACATTACTCATTGGCAGTGGAAAGCCATGCATGAGATTTGAGGAGGAGCATCACAGTAAGGCCAGAATTGTGCCTTAGAGCGCTCATCTTTGTGCAGCGAGGAGGGTGGCTGGAAAGTGGAAAGACTGAGTGTATTAGCATGGCGGAGCGCGTGAGGAGAGGCAGGGCCTGGAGCAGTCGTCCAGGAAGGTTATCTACCAGCTCTGCTGGGGAAGGCAGGATGTGGGAGAGGAGCGAACTCCTTGTAGAGGCTACCACAAAGGTCAAATATGCAGATGTTGTCAGCTGACCAGAAGATGGGGTCATGGGAGAGGGACGTGCTGATCAGGGTGACAGGGAGGACTGATCACCGGTGCTATCAGAAACAGGTGGAGAAGCAGGTGGGCGAGGGCCAGCTCTGTCTCGGGAGGTATGTGGGTGGGACGTGCCCTGAGACCAGCGTGCCACAGGAAGAACCGGAGTCCAGCACAAGTGAGGACCTGAGACAGACGGTTCCAGTTGCAAATCACATGGACAAAGGAGATGACCTCGGCTCCCAGCGGAGTGGTGGGAATGCAGAGAGAGCCTGAGGAGGAGAGCAGATACTGGTGTTTGTTTTTTACTTATTTATTTATTTTTTTTTTTAGAGAGATTTTTTGCTATAGGGCACGTGCACTTGCCAGAGAGACAGAACATGAGCAATCACCACCCAGGGGCGATGGCCTTACTGCAGTCCTGTCCCCTCCATTCTCCTCTTGGGATTTTGGGCACTCACTCACATGCACCCGCCATGAGTTTTAAGCCACCACGTCTGAGACTCGAAACGTGGGCAACTACGTGGGAGTTCAGTGACATAACCATTATGCCATCTGCTGGTCCCCAGGTTTTAGTTTTTAAGACAGTGCCTCACCATCTCTATGCTCCTGCCTTGGCTTCCCAGCTGGGTCTGCAGGTACATGCCATCACCCCCAGCCCTTTCTCTAGATAGGGTCTCACCATGTTTCCTGGGCTGGCCTCAAGCACAAGATCCTCCTGCTTCAGCCTGCCTGAGTCACTGGGATTACTGGCACACGCCACTGTGCCTGCCTTTAGGTGGGATGGGGACTTGAACTTGGCCCTCCCATGTGGTCCCAGCCTGAGGAGCACAGTCCACACTGCTCACCATGACTGGGCCGAGAACAGATGCTGTCCTGAGAAACATGGCAGAGCTGCGAAACAGGGAATGAGAGAACTGGAGAAGGGAGAGGGCCTCTCTGTGCTCCTTTCCTTTTCTCAAATTCGTATTAGGAAGATTACGGTTTCCCCGGAAGGCGGAAGGCACCAGTAGAAAAGGGATGATGAAAGAGAGATGAACTGATAGGGAGAAGTTCCTGGAGAGAGTGAGGTCTGGGAAGCAAACAGACTCCTGAGGACAGAAAAGGCTGAGTGAGGTCCCAGAGGCAGCTGGGGTAGGGGTGGAGGTGGAGACTTCCCCATTGGCCTACACCATGGGGGAGGGCTGCCTGGAGTCCCCGCCTTCCCAGGGTCACTCTTGCTGCCTGACACTCCTAGTCTGGCTCCAACTGCCCAAGGTGGGGTCCTTGAGCATTTAGCAGGGTCAGAGAGGCCTCCTTTGGATGGAGTAATGCCAGCCCCTGGCAATACAAGCACCTGCTCAGATTTGGGTGACCCGATTCTTAATGAGGAAGAGTGACTTTGTTGCTTTTCAGAGCTGAAGGTAAGAGCTATGACCCTGGAACTGCCATGCAGTCCACGGCTTCGTGGTATCAGAGGTGTTCTGTCTGTGGACACAAGTCAAAGTCTGTCCTGCCTGTGCGTCACTGCAGCTGTCTGCTCACCCTCCGGCTTAGCACCTAGGAACAACCAGTCCCCCAGCAGCTGCATGTTCAGTTTTATCTCTGAGAAGCGATGCCTTAGCAGGCTTCATCAGCTCAATCTCACGTCCAAGTCCAGGGAGTTTGTGATCATTTTCACAAATGTCAGAATGACATGTGATTTTATGAGGGCTGGGTCTGTTTAAGAACTCTAAAGAACACCAATAGAAATGTGTGTGATGTGTCCCGGTGAGTGGTTTTCACCCGGGATAAAAGGTTACGTAAATGTTTATAAAAATTGATAAAGTAAAATTGGGAACAGGGGCGAGGGTCCTGGTGAGAGCGGAGGGAGCAGAAGGTAGTGGGTTAGAGGGCAGTGGTCGTGTCCCTGTCTTTGTTCGTCATGGGGGCAGGGACAAGGGCTGTGGATTTCCGTTTGCTGCCTGCAGACGTCTGGGACAGGCAGGGCCTGGCTGGTTGTTTCCCAGGGCTTAGAAGGTAGCAAGGTGGGAGGGAATGCTGATGCAGTAAATATCTAGGATTCCTGGCTGTAGGCCCTAGGGGCCGCACTCAGCACTGTCTTGTCATTGAGTCTGTACAATTCTCAAGGTAGCCATGAGGTGTCATCCTCATTCTAAAGGTGAGAACACTAATGTTCAGAGCAGCTGATGGATTTCCCAAGGTCACACAGCAAGAATACAGCTGAAACAGGCCTTGAACCTAAGTCAGCCAGACCCCAGGGCCTGTACTCAGCCACCAGCTGCTATGAGGCCAAACAGCTATTGCTGTTTGATGCAGAAGCCTGAGGTGGCTAAATGTGGCCTGGAGGTTAGGGACCCTCAGGAAGAAGCCCCTTCCCAGCCCATGGGAAGGTGAGTGGCTGGCTGGCAGGGTCCTCCCTCTTGTCCCTCCTGATCAGGAGAGCACAGTCCAGCAGCTGTCTCTCCGCTCAGGCAGAGCCTGGATTGTAAGTCTGCTGCTCTCCCTGTCCTTTCGCCTCGGGGAGTGACACGCCAGGCCTGGGGCGTCATGTACATGGGGCAGGAGGACAGAGCAGTGAGTTACTTGGGGTCATCTGGTGGCTGGCCAGTGGCGTGGTGGTTAAAGACGATGGACTCCCACCTGACTGACCACAGTTCAAGTCTCGGTCCTGGCGGCTTGCTTTCTCACTTTCTTTCTCTCTCTCTGTCTCTCTCTGGTCAAATTCAAACAAAGAAAAAAAAATAATAGTAACTAAAGTTAAATTTTTGAAAAAATGGGCTCATCTGTACCAAGGCTAGATCCCCCACAGGCTCAGACGCCCCTTCCACAAGCCCCTTCTGGAGACCCTGCCCTATCAAGTATCCGCTCTGCCAGGCTGCAAGTTCTCAGCGGATAGAGACACCAGCCCCTAAGCCCTCTCCCAGGAGCCAGGGCAGACTACACAGTATGGCAGGCCTTTCCCCAGAGGTGTGCGAAGCACCCTCACTGTATTTTCAGATGGCTGTGAGGCAAAGCAGCAGCACTTCGTCATCACGTACCCGGAAGCACCTTTCATTTGTCATGTGAGAACAACAGGGGCTCCAGAGACGTGGCCCCACACTAGTGGGCTGTCCGATCCTCCTTGCAGGTTTCCTGGGGGCTCCTGAGCTATGGGGCAGGGCCTGGCTGCAGGGGTAACGGGGAAGGGAGTCAGCATCCAGGAGCAGAAGCCCACCTCCCTGTCCTCCACTTGACAGGTGGAGAAGCTGAGGCTTAAAAAAGGTTCAGTAGTGGGGACCAGCAGTTGGCGTAATGGCTATGTCGCTGGACTCCCATGTAGTCGACCGTGGTTCGAGTCCTGGACCTGGTGGCTTGAACTCACACCAGGCGCGTGTGCGTGCGTGCCCAAGATCCTGAGAAGAGAATGGAAGAGAAGGGATTGTGGTGTTGCCACCCCTGTGGCCACCCCCCCTGGGGGGTGATTTCTCGCTTTCTGTCTCTCCCTCTCTGTCCTTTTGGCGAGCGCATGTGCCCTATAGCAAAAATCTCACCAAAAAAAAAAAAAAAAGGTTAAGTAATTTGTGAAGTCTGATGTGATAACTCGGTCTTCACAGACCTGACTCCTGTCACTGATGCATGCCTCTGTTTGCTTCCAGTTCTTTCAGGCCTTTTCTAAGAACGTCCCAGGAACGACGTTACCAGGTGGGTGTCCTGCACTGGTTGTCCCGCTGGCATCTGCACCGCCTGCCCCCACCCCACCCCCTCGCTTACCTGGGTTTCTGTTGGGTGGAGAGGGCCCTGACGGTCAGCAAGCCCCTCAAGGGCGAGGAGGTCCCGGGAAGCCCTGTCTGTGTTTCCCTAACAGTGTCCCTCCAGTGGGCCTAGGGGTGCACAGGGAAAGCCAGGCTGAGGAAGCCTTTCCAGGTAGCCCATCCAGGCTGCTGGGGGCTCAGGGGACTGTTCCCAGAATACCCTTCATGTCACATGGGGTTGACACCCAGAGGACAAACCAGAGAACCCCTGGAAAGTACTTGTGGGGTCCATCCTTCCTTCCAGGGGACGGGTCTCTTTGCGCCACCCAGGACCACAGGAAAAGCCCACCCAGCCCCTCCTTTACCCGTCGCTGCCCCAGGACTGACTCGTGCTACATCTCCCAGCCTAGGGCTCTGGCCCAGACCTTTCCTCCTGACCCCTCACCCCGTCCCCTGCCTGTTTCCTTTGCAGTGGCCGGTGCCGACGTGCAGACGCTGCGGGAGAGGCTCATTGATGCTCTGGAGTCCCATCGTGACACGTGGCCCCCAGCCTGTCCCCCGCTGGAGCCTGCCAAGTATATGGGCTGGGGCAGTCCGAGTGCAGCGTGGCCAAGACCCCAGGCCTGGGAGGGGGAGGGCGGTGGCAGCGGCAGGGCTGGAGACCCATGTTGATACTTCCTGCTGCCTTTGCCCGGGGGGCAGACACCCCTGTCTGCTAGCACCACTCCAGAATGGCTGGTGGCTGTCCACGGGCTTCCTGTTGTTGCAGATCCTAACCCAGGAGCCATTTTCCTGGGGCTCACTGACTAGTGCCACACCCATCCCACCAGGTTGGAAAAGATGGGTGGGATCCCCCAGGTGGTGCTCACTGCTTCTCCCCACCCGTCCTCGGGGGCCCTGTGAGATGCAGCCAGGGCGCACGTGCTCTACCCTAGAGCAGGCTGCTGGGTCTCAGAGTGGGCTCGGGGAGGTAGGGGCCAGGGAGCTGAGCCTGCCTCTGTGAGCTGAGGTGGCAACGGAACCATTATGCCACCTGTTGCTCCCGATTTTGAAAGTAATTTTTAATTCAGTTATTTAATATTCTGACTGGTGGGGTGCTAGGAGTTACCTTTTCATTTGTGGACACCTTTGGTTCTAATGGGGGAAACTGGGCTCATTTCCTTACCTTAGAATAAGAAAGTGGGGTCAAAGAGCTTCTGAGGTCTGCTGCACTGGACTCTCCAACTCCCTAGTTCCTGTGTTAGGCCTGCTCCAGGGCGGGACAAGACAGTGCCCTGTTGGCAGTACCTGCCACAGACAAAGCTTGTGTCTGCTGGGTCTGAACTCTCCAAGGACCAGTGCAGGCCCTCGCCAGGAAGCCTGGGCCTCCTGCAGCCCGAGAAGACGGCCAGTCTCAGACCATCCCTTCCCAGTCCTTCTACCCATACTCCTGATTCTTAAAACAGATGTGAAGAAAAACAAAACAAACCAAAAAAATAGGTCAAGGGAACAAGGTCCGCTAACAAGAGCAAGTCTTTGAGAGTAAGGGTCTGGTTGTGGCAGGCTCCTGGGTGGAGAGGGCCTGTGAAGCCATCCTCACGGCACTGTGTCCTGGTGTCGCTGGCAGCTTTGCCTTGTGCCATTGTCCACAGGAGTGACTGCCAGGCTTGTCTCTTGTAGGCTGGAGGAGATTGAAGGATTCTTTGCAAGAAACGATGAAGAGTACCTGGCCCTGATCTTTGAAAAGGAAGGCTCCTACCTGGGTAGAGAGGTGAGCTACCCTCGGGGTCCTGCAGCTCCTGGATAGCTGGGGAGAGGGGCCATTTGGGAGCAGGGAGGGCCTTGCAGTTCTCCTGTCTCTGCTGGGTGCATTTCTTAGCCTGGCGCTGGCCTGACCCCTGCTGGGCAACACGAGAAGTGTAGGAACCGGACTTTAAACCTCTGCGTCTAGTCTCACCCTTAAACCAGAGTTAACACGTGCTGTTTGAGCCTCCGACAGCTTACTGACACACACAGCTCTAAGCTCCACAATTAGCAGAGGTGACCAAATAACTCATCCAAGGTCACAAGGCTAGTAAATTGTAGGACAGGACTTTGAAGCAGGTCTGTCTGGTTCCATGTTGTTTCCACACGTAGAACTGGGAAGAAATTGGGGAGGAGGGCACATTAGCGATGGCCCAGTCCCTCATGAGGAAGCGAGGGTCCCTTACCAGCTGAAGCAGGTGGAATTTCTACTCTATCATCTCGTGAGTTGTCCATCGTCAAGTTGCTCAGCTTTCCGGAGCCCCGATGTCCTGCCTACAGCTCAGTGATAATTTTGTTTCTTTGTGGTACTGTTGGGCAAGTCAAAGAAGGCCATTTGGCTAAAGGACCAAAAATAGTAGGTGGCACATAAGAGGTGCTTTATAAATCCATGGGCCAGCCCATAGCGTGGTGGTAAAGGTAGCTGGATCCCACATGGCCGACTTGTGCAGTTTGAGTCCCAGACCTGGCAGCTTGAAAAACACGCCAGGCACATGAGCATGCGTGCCCAAAATCCCAAAAGGAGAGTGGAAGAAAGGGAATTGCAATGTGCCTATCCTTTCTGGGGGATGCTTTCCCACTTTTTTCTGTCTGTCTGTCTCTGGCAAGTGCACACACCCTATTTTTAAAAAAGAAAGGTGCTGGCAGGTGGCATGGTGGTTAAGGGCGCTGGACTCCCACATGGCCAACCACGGTTCGAGTCCCAGACCTGGCAGCTTGCTTTCTCACTCTCTCTCATCAAATTAAAATCAGTTAATAAAGTTAAAATAATTTAAAAAGAGAAAAAAAGAAAGATGCATTTGCTTTGCCGAGCTCTCCTTGACCTGCCGCTGCTCCTGGACCTGTCCGCAGCCTGCTGGTGAGCTCTCCCGGGGCCGAGCTGGGACATGCTGGCGCATGGAGATGTTTGTCCAGGTGGTGCAGGGGGAAGAGACTGGAGAGTGGGGCTGGAGTGAACCCCCGCAGCTGGCCCTGAGCTTTTCCTGCCGACACCTGTCAAGTGTAGTCTGCTGACACCTGTCAAGTGTAGTTGATGGGATTCTGGAACTGGAAACAAGCTGCCTTCAGCCTCAGCTCTGCAGGGACCCCAGGGAGTGGGGAGAGGGTGGGCTGCTTTGCTGAAGGAGGGCCCAACAACCTCCAGAGCCTCCTGAGTAACCAGGGGCCTAGACCCAGTGGACTGAGCTAAGGCTCATGCACAGGCTCGGGGTCGTTGGAGAGGCAGGAGCATCATGGCTAAGAACCCTGCCTCCAGAGTCAGGCTGAGCTGGGGCTCGGAGGCCAGTGCAGACCTTCATTGACCCTGTGACCTGAAGACAAGATTTCTTTTCTAAACTTCATTTTAACAAATTGCTATAGGATGCATTTGTTCTTGAGAGAGAGAGCTTGAAGACACCCCCTACTCCCCTATCCCCCTATCCCCGGGAGGGTGTGATCACACCACAATCCCGCCTCTATTCTCCTCTTGAGATTTCGGTTACTCACGCCTGTATGCCCAGTGTGTTTCTGAAGCCACTGGGCCTGGGACTCAGACCACACTGTTGGCCATGTGGTTGTGGGATCCAGCCACCTTAACACCACGCCACTGGCTGACCCAAGAGCTTTTTTATTTTTTAATAAAAACTTGTATGCCACTAGGTGCTAGTCATTGTTATAAGCATTTGTGTAAAACTAACCCATCAGTCCTCATCGCCTCCCTCTGTGGTTGGAATTACAATGGTCTCCTCTTATCCACGGTTTCATTTCCTGCTGTCAGCCACGGTCCAAAAGTAGGTGAGCACAGTCCAGTGAGATAGAGAGAGAGAGAGAGAGAAGGAGAGATGCCACATTCACACAGCTGTCATCAGTCTACCTTTGTAGTTGTCCTAGTTAGTCATCGTTATCATTAATCTCTTTCTGTGCCGACTTGATCAGTTAAACCTTATCGTAGGTATACATGTACAGGAAGTGAAAGGATATACCAAAACCATAGTATAGGTAGGATCTGGCACTGTCTACAGTTTCAGCCATCACCTGGGAGTCTTGAAACTTACCCCTTGCAGGTAAGAGGGGACCACTGTATCGTTATTATTGCTGTTGTCATTTTACAAGTCAGGAAATTGAGTCAGGGAGCCGTTCGGTCCAGTAGGGTCAGGATGCAAACCCAGGCAGCCTTTCTTCCTCTTGCACTGTAGTTTTCTATTTCAGTCTTACTCTGCAGGTTAAATGAAGCAATTTATTTATCATATGTGATACATAGTAAATGTTAGCTAATGTTTTCTTATTTCTTTCTATAAATAAGGTCATCATGTTTGATAAGTATATTTTTTGATTTGGAATATCGATAGAAAGCTTTATAAATAAGAGAATAAAACTAAAACCATCTGTTGTTAAACCTTTTACAAATTGCTTTCGTTAGAAAGAAAATTATTTTCAGTTGGTTCCGTCCTTGGGCATGCAAGATGTGTGGTCTGTGCGGGCCCAAGGCCCCGTGGGTGATGTTCGGCAGGTGGGTTGGACATGGCTGGTGGCACGTGAGTCCCATGCTCATAAGGGGCTCCTCTTTGCAAGGTGTGGGGTCTGGATGGAGCACAGCGGCTACCAACCAGGTGCCTGCTCAGGGCCCAAGCCGGGACCAGCCTCTGGTCATTGACCAGCTAGTGACTTGTCATTCCCTCCCCTGATATCCTGCCATCTCTGCAGGTGACTCTGGACCTGTCCCAGCGCCATGGCCTGGCAGTACGCAGGGTTCTGAACACAGAGGGCAACGTGGTGAGCAAGTTCGGCGTCACGGACTTCCCATCTTGCTACCTGCTGTTTCGGAATGGCTCCGTCTCCAGAGTCCCCGTGTGAGTGCTATGTCTCTGGGCTGTTTTCCCCTCCCTGGCTCATCCTTCCCACCTGCCTAGAGGGGGCCACGAGTTCTTTCTCCCTCCATTCTCTGGAGGACACCAGGAGCACCCCCTGCAGGAGAAGCAGATACCTGCCTGTCTGCATGGGGCAGGGCCACTTCAGCCAGGAGACAGCCCACAGCGCAGTCCCAGCCCTGGCAGCTCAGGGGTCCTGATTGACTCCTTATAGCGCCCACCGTCGCCCCCTGCCTGCTCTGCGCTGTCCCCACCACAGCCCTGGCCCTAGTCCCCTTCCTCCTCTGTCTGCAGGCAGGCTTCGGGCCTGGCAAGGACTCAGATATGCCCGACTTCCCTCCCTTTGGTTTTCTAATTGCGGAAAAGTTCATTAGGAGCCAGACAATAGCCAGTTCCAAAATGCCCAGGAAACAATCAGGCCAGCCTCAGCCCCTCTGTCAGGCTCCCGCTGCTGAATGGCCCGTTAAATGGTGCCAGATGGTGCCTCCGTGCCCTCCCTGGGCTGATGATTGATGTCAGCCTGGCCCAGCAGGCAGAACTCGGGCTTGCCAGAGGTGCCCAGGACCTGCTCCCCAGGGCCCTGAGTGCCACCCTGGGTGAAGCTGGGCAGGGCAGCCCCTGGCACCAGGCAGCATTGGGGCAGGCCCGTCACAGAGTCCAGGAAGCGTAGTGGCCGCAAGGGACAGGGAGGGGCTAGCCTTCTGGGCAGCCCTGGTGGGGAGAGGAGGCATTGTTCCTCGCTTGGGGTTGGTGGAGGGGAAAATTGTTTGTGACGAAGCCACTCCCCAGCCATCTGCTCGTCAGTCGTCAGTCGGCCGAGTGGAGAGCGGTGCTGCCACTGCCCACACCCCGCCCATCCCTCTGGCCATCCCACCGCACCCGTCCCTCCAGGGCACCCCGCCCATCCCTCTGGCCATCCCACCGCACGGCTGCGGGCTGGCACCCGTCCCTCCAGGGCCCTCACCTCGGAGTGGGAGTGCTCTTGGTGCTCAGATGGTCCCTGCCCTGGAGGACTCCTCTCTCAGGAGAGAGAAAGAAGCCCAAAGTCTGTTAAAGGCTCAGCGAGTGCTGGTGACTGGTTGTCATTGCTGGCTATTTTTAAATCACACAGCGCTCCCTGAATGTCCTTGAGGAGTAACGTCACCTGGTGACACCTCAGAGCCTGCTCGTGAGCGGGCAGCTTCCTGGGGGTCCATAGAAGGTAGCCAATCCCAGTCGTCCTGCCATGACCAGGTCCTTGGCCCTGTCTGGAGCCAGCTACCTCTCCAGATGGGGGTTCAACCCGGGCTGGTGTCAAAGAGACCTTCCCTGGCACGTGAGGTGACCAGGAAGGTTAAAGTGAGGCCAGGTGCCCTGATCTTGACCTCACTGAGGATAAGGTGGAACCAAGGTCAAATGTCCCTTTTTTCTCTCATCTTTTTCTTCTCTCTTTCTTCCTCTTCTTTCTTTTTTATTTGCCAGAGGGTGTGCACCCTCACAAGAGAGAGAGAGAGACAGAGGGGATGAGAGAAGCACTCCCAGTGAGGTGTGGTCACACCACAGACTGCCACTCCCTCATCCTGTCAGCATTTGGGGCTTGCACGCACATGTGCCCCGTGTGTCCTTCAAGGTGTCGGGGCAGGAACTTGACCTGTGCCATAGCCATGACTACCAGGCCGGCCCTCAAATTTTTTTAAACTTTTGCTGGAGGACACATGTGCCCACCGAGGAGAGAGAGACAAAGAAAACAGGGGAGAAAGCACGCCTATGGAGGATGGTCTCGCCACAGTCCTTTCTCCTCCGTTTCTCCTTTCGGGATTTTGGGCACGCACACATGCATGCCCGGTGTGTTTTTCAAACCGCTGGGTCCAGGACTTGGACCATGGGATCCAGCTGTCTTAACCACCACCCCTGGCTGGCCCTTCTCAAATGTTTTTTAATAAACATTTCTGTCAGATGCGCCCCCGTGCCACCCCTTCTGACATCGGCTCGCTCTGGGTTTTGTCCTTGGGAACTTACTGACTCTCCTTGGTGTCCTCTTGCCCCACAGGCTTGTGGAGTCCAGGTCCTTCTATACTGCGTACCTGCAGAGGCTCTCTGGCCTCACCAGGGAGGCCGCCGAGGCCACAGCCGTGCCGACCGCTGCTAAAACGATAGCTCCCACTGCTTGGAAACTGGCAGACCGGTGAGGCCAGCTGCTCCTCATCCCTTCCCATCCCCACCTTCCCTCTGAAAGACCATAGACCTCCGTACCCGCCCCCTGGATACTCACACCACTTGTCAAGCACCCCAGGGCTCACCTTGGCCTCTTGGGCCCCTGACTGCTGGCCACACGCAGGAGAGCCTTGAGAATGTGCACGCAGCAGCAGCTGACCACGGTCTCTTCAGGAACTGCCCCCAGGGCCCCAGCTTGACCTGGGCAGTGACCGATGGCCTTTCCCATTACCCTCCCTCATGGTGAACACTTTCCAGCATCCACACTCGCTAAGTTTCACTATAGCCCAGGACAAGTAGAATTCACTCGGAGGGATGCTCCGAGGCCTCCCGAGCCAGCCTCCCACCTGAGCAGTGGTTTTTCCGCACACAGTTCTGAGTACCCACCGTGTGTGGGCACTGTGAGCACAAGCATGCAGAGGCCAGACGCAGGCCCCGCGTGCTCAGAGCTTCCGGTCCCCTTCACGGCCTCCCTTCTGGGAAGGCACCCAAGCTCACTGGAATGCCTCTGGCCTTGGGAAGCTCACCGCTTGTTCGGGTAGCCTGTTCGTTTGTGCACGTGTATGGGCATGAGAAAGCTGTTTTTCTCCCTGAGCTCCTTGGCTGTGCTCTGAGGGTAGATTTCCTGCCTGTAAGGTGAGGGGATGGGGCGGTAGACCTGACCCAGTAGCCACATACCAAGAGGAGATGCCAACCAGGGAGCTCAGAGCTGGTCAGGCGGGTGGCCTCCGTGAGGGTCTGCACAGGGAACTGAGGGGAGCTCCTCTGATTTCAAGATGTTGCATCCTAGCACGGGGGACTTTAAGGTAGAAAGTACCACGGGAAATATTTCTAGTAAATCCAGGAAGAGGGGAGAGAGAGAGAGATGAAGAGGTGGGAACAATCATTTGCTCATTAAAATGATGATGATTCGGGGCACCGACATTATTGTGATAGCCTGCATGCCGAGTTCTGTGCTGGGCATCCTCAGACATGGTCCTGTTTGGTCATGGGGCCACTTCCTGGGACGAAAGTCAGGAATGGAGAGGCAAGGTGAGGCCCAGGGACACTGGAGTGGGGCACAGCGAGGGGCACAGACAGGCACCGCGCCCACCCTGTCAGTGGGCCTCAGTGGCTCTCCACAGCCCCCCAGGGCGTTGCAGGAGGAATTCCTTTATTTCACAGGCGAGGCACCTGAGGTCCAGAGAGCAGCTTGAGCTGCCCAAGCCCCAGGTCGGGTTCACTGTTGAACTGAGGCCCAATCACAGGTTTCAGGAGAGCTAACCCCCTGGCCTTTCAGAGGCCTTGCTTTTTCAGAGCCACATTGTGTGCGCACCTGTGGGTCTGTCTGTCTGTCCCTGTGGGTCTTCGCATAGGGTAGAGACTGAAGCTCACCCTTCCACTAGTGACCTCGTTAATGCAGCACAGGAGGGCCCAGCCCCGGGCCTGGACAGGGGAAACCGCTACTATTCAGGAGCTGCAGAGGGTTTTGCATTTGTGCTTTTATGTCATCCTTCCAGCAAGTTACCCATAAGCAATATATTATTATTTGTCTTATAAATAAGGAGCCGTGGCTCAGAGAGGTTAAGTAATTTACCCAAGGTCGTACAGCAAGTTACTGGCAGAGCCATGTGCTAACGTAGGTCCTGTGACTATGAACTGCACCCCCTCTTTTCTCTCCCTTTACCCCTGGTTGGTCCTCCCCAACCCTGCCCCTTGGTAATGTCCCTTTCTCTCTCGGCTCCCTCTGGCTCCTCAGCTCCAAGGTCTACATGGCGGACCTGGAATCCGCGCTACACTACATCTTGCGGATAGAAGTGGGCAAGTTCTCGGTGCTGGAAGGGCAGCGCCTGGTGGCCCTGAAGAAGTTCGTGGCGGTGCTGGCCAAGGTGAGCGGGGCTGTGGCTCTCGGTCTGTGCAGACCTGCCTGTGGTAGCGAGCGCCTTGCCAGTCCCACCCTCCAGGAGCTCACGGCTGCTGACACCCGGGCTCGCTGCCCTGCCATGCCCAGCCTTAGCCACATCCCACAGCAGCCCTGCACTGCCAGGCAAGGGGTACAGGGCCCGATGCCCAGCACCTGGGGATAGTCCCAGCTGAGGCAGTGCCTGCCTGAGTCTGAGCCCCAGCGGGTGGCTTCTCACTCCTTGTCATGGGAAAGCAGGACCCCTGGGACGCCCAGTGCAAGAGGGGACTTTCCTGGATCCCCATTCTTCCTTCCCAGCCTGCCCCTGCTCCCTCTCCATGCCTGCCTTGTCCCTGTGTAGCTTCCTGGGAGGTGGCTGCCCATGAGGGGAGCCTCTGCTTACTGAGACCTGGTGTATGGCAGGTGTCAGTCCTCCCAACAACTCTGCAAGGTGGCACCTACCACCCCATGTTAGAGGCCCAGAGAGGCCACGTGACTTGCCTTAGGTCACCCAGGTAGGAGGTGTGGGACTAGAACTGGGGTCCCAGGCTGCAGAGCCTGTGCTTCTCACTCTGCAGCCCCCTTCCTCTCTGACGGTGAGTGGTGGCTGCCTGTCCCTGCCCGCATCCTTCCCTGGCTTTGGGGTTGCCCTATTTACACCCGGGGCTCCTGCTACTGTGTGCTGCTGAGTCAGGGACCAGCTGCTGACTCAGCCACCCTCGGCTGGGCTGGCTCTGAGCCCGCCCTTCTCAGCGAGGTCTGTGGCCACTGGGGCTGCCCCTGAGCATGATCCGGGCCTCTTCTTGGCAACCTCCTGCCAGCCTCATCCTTTGTCCTCACTTCACCCAGTCCTGGCCCTCTGGACCCCCTTAACCTGGTCACGTGCAAGTGTGATGACACTAAGAAGATGCTAGGGCGGACATTACTCCTCAAAGGCCCATGCAGAATGAGCCCCTGTTCCTCAGTCCGCCCTGACCACACAGGCCTTTCCTCAGAGGCCCGAGAGCAGCTGGATCCCGCAGTGCTGAGTCCTGGGGCTGATGGCCTGAGACTCAGAGGGGAAAGTCTGCTCCTGCCCAGCCCACGAGGGAGACCCACAGTGTGCTGTCCCGGTGCACTGTAGAGGAGATGAGGACGCCCAGCATTCTGCCAGTCCCCTCTGAAGGAGCAGCCCCAGGGAAGTCATTTCTTGAGTGCGCCTCACATCTCTCAGGTGCACTCGAGGCTGGTTTCTTCCTGTGCCTCTGGTGCCACTGTTCACAGCAGGATGAGGGGCAAGGGCAAGGTTCAGAAAATTCCCGAGCTGGGCAGAGACCATACTGCACCCTCTTGGGGTTCTGCCTTCAATGAATGCTGAAGTGAGTGTGGGCGGAAGGAGCCCTTCCTGTGGGAGCCATCGTCCGCGGGAGGGCAGGCTGGCCTTGAGTGGAGGACAGAGAGGCCGGATGCCTGGCAGCAGAGGCAGAGGGACCTGGGCCGGGACTCAGACCCTCTGTTGGGGCTTTGTCCACACATCTCCCTGGGGAAGGCAGAGTGTTCTGGCCTGGTCTGCTGGGGTAGCTTCTTCCTGAGGATTGATAATAGCAGCAGCCACCATTCTCAGGCTCTGACAGGATGCAGTCTTTGTGTGTTGGCTGATTTTTATTCTCATGAATTCCACCGGGGGAGTACTAGGTATCTCTGTTGTAGCAACAGAGCAAATCAAGGCCCAGAGAGGTAAAGCACCTTGCCCAATCCCCCCAGCCACCTGCCGTCGAACCCTTGCTGTGAACCACCCCGTGCACGGCACTTTAGGGACACTGGAAGCCTGTGGGCAAGCGAGCGTGTGCACTGCCAGCTCAACCTGGGAGGGCTGTCAGCCTGGCTGCCCAGCCCTGAGGCCCTTGCAAGTCTTCCTGCCTCGAGTGAGCAGTTGGCAGGGCTGGCCACTGGGTGGCGTGTGGTCCCCAGGGTTGTCCTGCTTCCTGCAGCCCAGAGCTCATAATTCATCCTCCTGACACCTGGCCTCAAGGCCGGAAGGTTCCAAAGCAGGATGTGGACGCAGGTCAGTGAGAAGTGCTGACTTCATGCTGTAAATCTGTGTGAGCCAGCCTCAACCGGGGAGCCGTTCTTTTTATTACTTTTTAAATTCTACACATCCCAGGTTGCTTTTATTAATCCAGAACCACATGCTGCAGATACAGTACTGATACTGCTCAGCACAGAAAGGGCTTCCAAGCCATTAAACAGGACCTGGGAATAAGCTTCAAACGGAACGGTACCGCCACAGCTGTTAGGAAACACTCAGTATTCACAAACAATGTTACAGTCAGCGTTTTAGTAAAACAGAGAAAGATCGGAGACGGGCTTACAGTTGCTTCGTGTCAGCTGTCATCCAGCGACACCGAATGGACAATGGACAGGTTTTAGCTTTATACAGCATTTTGTGACATCAACATGCCTAGCGTTTTTTAATATCTTAATTTTTAAAAAGAATGATTTCATTTCATTTATTATTATTATTATTTTAATTTGACTAGAGAGAGAGAGAAGGAGAGAGACAGGGAATGTAAGAAAGCAAGCCACCAGGTCTGGGGCTGGAACCACGGTGAGCTACGTGGGAGTCCAGCACTTAACCACTATGCCACCTGCTGGCCCTGGTTTTTTTATTTTTAAAAATTCGCTGCCTACTTATATGTAATATGTGTATATAAAAGCCTCAGGTGGCTTTTCCTGTAAGAGTAATCTCATATACAGATTTTTGGCCCTTAAGGGCTTATAACTATTAATTGAAAATGCTCTCTGGACGATCTGCTATCAAAGCATTTTATTAAAGGTGACATTAAAACTACATGTAAGTCAGGCCAGAAGGTGGCACGGTGGTTAAGGTGCTGGATCCCACATGACTGACTGTGTGGTTCTAATCCCAGACGTGGTAGCTGAAAAATCACGCCAGACATGCATGTGTGCATGCCCAAAATCCCGAGAGGAGAGCGGAGAAGGGACTGCAATGTGGCCATGTGCCCTGGAGCATGATTTCTCACTTGTCCTCTCTTCCTCTCTGTCTTTGTCTCTCTGTGGCAAGCACGTGAGGCCTTTAGCAAAACTAAAAAGAAAAAACAAAACTATATACAAACCTGCCTATGTAGCATCGCAGCAAAACACCACAAACAAAAACCACAGGATCAAAAAAGAGGGAGAAAGACAACAGCTGAGACCGTTTGTTCCCAGGGTGGGAGTGGGGGGAAGGTGTCCAGCCCCTAAGGCTTGAGGGGATTTAATGGCTCTCTTGGAAAACTGGACCTGGTAGTGCGTTTTCCTGTTTAGCTCTCGTTCCTATTGGCAGGACCCTTCCTCCCCCCAAGAAGTTTTCTTGGCTTTTCTCACAGTTTCTCAGGGTTGTCATCCTTTCTGCCACTCGGGGATTGTCTCTGACCTGCTGTGCTGCTGTGTCCCCCCTCCTCCCTGCCCCCTGCACTGCTCCCGTGTATTGTGCATGCACACACATGCACACATATGCCCCTCCCTGGGGTCCCTGTGGTTTTAAAGTGCTGATACTAATCGGATTCGGGCTGACTGGTTGTCAGAGGGGCCTTTCGTGCTCCTCCTCCTCCTCCTCCTCCTCCTCCTCCTCCTCCTCCTCCTCCTCCTCCTCCTCTTCGGAGACTGTTGGGAGTTACTATCAAGATTTGGATCTTGGCTGAGCCCCTGGGCAGGCTCGTCTTCCTGGCAGCTGGGGAATTCAAATGAAGGGCTTGTTCACCTCGCCAGGCCCAGCCGCTCAGTTGGTGGACAGAAGACCTGCAGGTAGGACCTGTGCCCAGGGCTCTCACTTCCCTCCCAGCCATGGCACATGGGAGCCTGAGCCTTGAGGTGGGGAGACCTTCGGGACCCAGCCCGCTGGGGCCTCTCCTTACCCACCCCCTCCTCTAATCTTACCAGATGTCCTAGAGCAAAGACAGTGAGAAATCTGCGCCTCAGGCAGGATGTTTTCCTGGTGGCTTTGGAACATTCCAGAAAGCCTCCTTGACCCACTTCTGTGTAACACCCCCATGGCCTGCAGGACGGTGAGACTCTGGGGGGATCATTTTCACTCGCTAACTTCCACTTTTTCCTCCCACAGTACTTCCCTGGCCAGCCCTTGGTCCAGAACTTCCTGCACTCTGTGGAAGACTGGCTCAAGAAGCAGCAGAGAAAGAAGATTCCCTACAGTTTCTTTAAGAATGCCCTGGACAGCCGGAGGGAGGTGAGTCTGGGAGGAAGACGAAGATCTCCCCACCCGCGGTGTTTATGGGAGTGGAGGGGCTGACACTGTCATCTGACCGCCCATGTGCGTTCAGGGGAGCCTGTGATCTTGGCTGGGTCCTTCCATTTAATGTCCTAGCTGATTTCATCCTCACGTCATGAATGGAAGGGTGATAATATCCCCCATTTAGCACATGGGGAGACTGAGGCTAGGGGAGGTTAAGAAGCTCCTCTGAGATTATGCAGCTGTACAGGGCGAGGCTGGGATTAGAAGTCGCCGAGACACCTGCATTTCTCATACCTGTGCCCTGCTGCCTCTGAGCCCCTGAAGCCCCTAAGCGGCTGTCCTGGCCTTCTGCAGGGCACCTTCCAGGCTCTGCTCTAGGCGCTGTTTGCAAAGGTGGCCACTGTGGCTAGCAGGAGTGTGAAACTTCAGACCTGTAGGACCTCAGTGGGCAGCGGAATAGGCTGTAGCTTGGTCTGTCATGGACTTCCACATCTGCTGTTCTTCCTAAGGATGGAGCCGGTAGACAGGGAATGCCACCTTGGACGTGACAGGCCGAGAGAGGGACCTGTTCATCTAGGGCTGTTTCCTGACCCTTGAGTCTCAACACCTCCTGTCCACCTGCTCCATGCACATACTCACCTCCTCTGTGGCCCGTAGGGTGCTGTTCTTGCCAAGAAGGTGAACTGGATTGGCTGCCAGGGCAGCGAGCCACACTTCAGGGGCTACCCCTGCTCCCTGTGGGTCCTCTTCCATTTCCTGACAGTGCAGGCAGCTCGGCAAAATGGGGACCACTCGCCGGAAACAGGTAAGTCCAGCCTTTCATCAGCTGGCCTGAGACCCAGCCATTTCTCCCCTGGGCAGGGACAACGAGCAGGGGGACTCCCTGGAATTTCTCCACGGCTCCCTGCTGCACCCCTATTTACAGGGTGGGGCAGAGACAGTTTGGAACCTATGGGATCGCTATACCTGCAGTGGGCCACACACAGACCCACATGGAACCAGCCCAGCATGGGGAGGACTCCAGAGTCCCCATTCCTGCCCTGCCTCTAGGCTGGTGGCCTGCCGAACCCTGAGGCCTCTCCTGCTTTCTGGAGCCTGTGGCTTGCTTTGTTTTCAATAGTCACAAAATATTTGTGATTCCTTTTCTTTTTTTTTTTCCTTTTTAGATTTTTGTCATAGGGCACGTGTGCTCACCAGAGAGAGACAGAGACAGGGAAAGTGAGGAAGCATCCTCTGGGGTAAGGATGCTGCAGTCCCTTCTCCCCCAGGCTCCTGTCAGGATTCTGGACATGCACGTGCATGCACTCAGTATGATTTTCAAGCTGTCAGGCCCAGAACTTGAACCATGGTGAGCCATGTGGGAGTCCAGCGCCTTCACCACCATGCCATTTAATCTTTATACTATCTTTTTTCTTAATTTGCGAGACAACATGTATGTGAGGAGAAGTACAGAGAGGGAAAGTGAGAAAGCACCCTCCAGGGAGATCCTTCTCCTTCATCTTTTCCTTTTGGGATTTTGGGCACACATGCACATGTGCCTCCCGGTTTAGGACTCACCACAGAGTCGACCATGTGGGATCCAGTGCCAGTAGCTGGCCTCTTTATAAGCGTGGTTAGGGGACTAGACTCTCACATGGCCAACTGTGGTTCAAATCCTGGACCTGGTGGCTTGAAAATTATTCCGGTCACATAGAGATATGTGCTCAAAATCCCAGAAGGAGAATGGAGGAGAAGAGATTGTGTGGGCCATCCCCCTGGGGGGTGATTTCTCACCTTTGCTCTCACTGTTTCTCTTCGTCTCTCTCCGGTGAGTGCACATATCCTATGGCAAAAATATTAAAAAAGAAAAAAAAGAAAAGGAAAGGAGAGGGGAAAAGAACCGTGGCCGCTTCCCAATTCACATTCCTGACAGTGTGCACCGAAATGGTGCTGTTGTGCTGCCCACTGAGAACGACTTTGTGGGGGAGTTTGGGGCATCAGCTTCCCCCTACCGCCCTATTTCCTCCCCAGACGAGGCAGCTGTGCCCTGGGCCCCACACAGTCCCCTCCTGCTGTAAGGGCAGGAAGGAGGGGCGTCCACTTCAGTACACATTTGTGAAGGACCCAGGTTCGGGTCAGGTCCTGGCTCAGCACAGAGGATACAGAGGTGACAGAGACTTCCCCGCTGTCACAGGCTGTCCAGCCTTAGTGCGGCAGGGTGGGCAGAGGGCTCCTGCGGTGTACTAGGGGAGGGGTACAGGCAGGACTGGGGATGTGCTCTCGGGACTGGACGAAGCTTCCTAGGGGAGGCAGTTGAGCAGCAGGAGAAGAGGAATTCAGCCGGAGCAGAGGAGTGTCCGAGAGAGGGACCATCTACATGGAGGAGCTGCCCTGCTGAGGGGACACTGGGGCCAGTCAGCCTGTACATGCAGGGTGCCTCCACAGTGCCTGGTCCCGCCTCAGGCCAGGGTATGGACGTGTGAGGGGCAGCATTCCTGTTCCCCTGGGGCCAGATTCTAGTGTTAGGAGGTAGACCAGAAGCACAGATAAGTCATTTCCAAAATCATGACGAATTCTGTAAGGAAGGCAAGGCAGAGTGGTGTGGGTGCCGTGCTCTGAGGAGGTACCCTGGGCTGAGACCAGCAGGGACAGAAGGACAGCCGTGGGACTGCTAGGAAGAGCTCTCAATCAGCTTGGGTGGCTGTGACGGCTACTGCAGGCTGGGGGCTCAGACCGTAGACATTCATCGTCTCACAGCTGCAGAGGCTGGAAGCCCAGGATTGGGGTTTCAGGAGGCCTGGCTGCTTCTGAGGCCCCTCTCCTTAACCGGGAGATGGCTGTCTGTCCCCTGTATCTTCCTTGGTCTCCCCTCTCCCTGTCCCTGGCCAGGGAGACGGGTTTCTCCAGGACTGGGTTCAGCTGCAGGAAAGAGGGGCGGTTGGGGGCAGCCAGCGGCAGCCAGAGGTACCTGGGATTTGGGAGGTGAAAAGGCTGGGGGGGTGTTGGGGGAGGAGCCAGCTGCAGTTAGAGGGAGAAGATGGGGGTAATGGAACCTTCACAAGGGGAGAGTAGGGGGAGATGGAGACACATTAGGGACATGACGAGATCAGGGTGGCACAGCAGGACAGGAACAGGTTGGGACAACAGACTGCAGCCAGTAGGCCCAACAGGAGCAGGGGCTGGGCAGACCTGGTCCTGGCGTCCTGCTGAGACATTTAGACTGGACCCTGAGCTAAGTGGCAAGGCCTGGACGTGCGGCAGAGAAGGGCCTGTGGGATGGAGAAGGTGGAAGAGGCAAGAAGACCCTGAGTTCCGGCAGTGCAGACGGGGGGGTGGGGCCCTGTGTAGGGTTGAGGCATGGGATGGAGCCCAGGCGGCCTGTGGGCCCCTGTGCATGGCACCTCCTCTCCCCTCTAGCCAACGCCCAGGAGGTGCTGCAAGCCATCCGGGGCTACGTGCGCTACTTCTTCGGCTGCCGGGACTGCGCCAACCACTTTGAGCAGATGGCTGCCGCCTCCATGAACCGCGTGGCCAGTCTCAACGACGCCGTCCTCTGGCTCTGGTCTGGCCACAACAAGGTCAATGCTCGCCTCGCAGGTGAGGAAGGGCCACCTCCAAGACTGAGCCACCTACGAGTGGGGTCCACTTTGGGATCCTGGCCCAGCCAGAGGTGGGGAGGGACACACGGTGCCCTAACACGCGTGCTTGTTGGCTCACAGCCCTTCCGTGGGTGGGCCAGCCCTGTCACCCAAGCCCATGTCACCAGACCTGTTTTCTGCGTAGGGAACTGAGGCCTTGGCACTTTCAGACCCTGGTCCTCCAGTGCCAGTGCCATGGCTTGCTCTTCTCTGTGCACCAGGGCCCCTCTCCCTGGCCTCTGGGGCTCCCTCTCCTGACCCCCACCCCCGTTCTGCTTCCTGGCTTCTAATACTCTCAGGGAGGAGGGAGCTGGGGTTTTCTTTTCCCGTGCACAGGAGTCTGCTGGGTCCCACAGCAGAAGCATTGAACTCCAGGGGTGAGGGGCGGGGAAGGAGCTGTGACAGCCTTCCTGGGGGGTCAGCCTGGGGGCAGGGCCGGGGTTAAAGAAGCTGCAGGAGCAGGTGGTGGCGAGGGCCTGTAGTTGGCCTTTCTCCACGGCCTACTGGAGGACTTCGAAAGACATGTCTTTCTTCTCCTGCCCCTCCCTCTCCACCCTCACGACCACGCAGGCTCTGGAGGCCTTAGAGGTAGGGCCTCTCCTGAAGGTGCCTCAGGTCTCTGACGTCCTGTCAGACGAGCAGCCAGCCGGTACAAACTGTGAGCTGGCTTTGCGGGGTCTGATCACTGGGACCGCTGGCTGGAGCCTGCCTGTTGCCCTCCCCATATTAACCGTCATGGTCGCGGCCACCTGCTGCTGCTTCAGATGGTTGACCTTTAGGAGAGGGGCTTCCCCCAGGAGAGACTGCCTTGCCTGGGCGACCACGTGGCAAGGGCCAGTGGCTGGCCTCCGGGGCCCAGCCTGAGGTTCTGCTGAGAGGGATACCCCGCCCCACGTCCCAGCAGCACAAAAGGGCAACCTTTAGACCCTCCCAAGGGCCCCAGACCCCCTCAGCCAGCCTTGAAGCCCACCCCTGCCCCTGCCCCCACCTCCACCCCAGGGCTGCAGCTGGTAAAGGAGAGCCCCTGCATGATCACCGTGCCTGGTGCACTCTAGTTTTAAGAAACATTTTCCATTTAACAAAAGTAATGTATTTTCACTGTATAAAATTTGGAAAATTTCAGAAAAGTGCAAAAAACTACAAATGGTCTCAGACCAACCAAAGGCTGCAGAACAGAATGGGTCATTCTGAGTCTTCTCGTCCTTTGCCCGTCCTATCCTGGGTTCAAACTGGAGGCAAAGTCCAGAGGGGACAGTGGGCGTGGTCAGCTCTGGGAAGTGACTGGAAGGGGGCAGCCCACATTTCCCTGGGGAACCTGAGTGCCGGGGGCCGGGTAAGAACCCCCTCACCCTGCTCACCCTGCTGGGCCCTGGTCCTGGGCTGGTTTTCTTTCTTTTTTTGGAGAGGTTTTTGCTATAGGGCGCGTGCACTCACCAGACAGAGACAGAAAGTGAGAAATCACCTCCAGGGGCAATGGCCATGCTGCAATCCCTTCTCCTCCGTTCTCTCGGGATCTTGGGCACGCACACACATGCGCCCGGTGTGAGTTTAAGCCACCAAGTCCGGGACGCGAACCGCGGTCGACTACATGGAAGTTAAGCGACATAGCCATTACGCTAACTGCTGGTCCCCGCTGGGCTGGTTTTCATCTGCACCCTCCTATCCCACCCTTTCTAGGGACGTTGGGGGTTGTTTTGCAGACGAGAGGACGGCTGTTCTGAATGGAGGTGAGAGGTCTGGCTCCGGTGCCCAGGGTGACCATACCTGCGTGTGTTTCCCTCCACAGGTGCTCCCAGCGAGGACCCGCAGTTCCCCAAGGTGCAGTGGCCACCCCGCGAGCTCTGTTCTGCCTGCCACAATGAGGTCCAGGGCCCGCCAGTGTGGGACGTGGCCGCCACCCTGAACTTCCTCAAGACCCACTTCTCCCCTAGCAACGTTGTCATGAACTTCCCCCACAACAGGCTGGCCCCTCGCCATGGCGCTCAGGTGCTGGCAGACACCCCGGGGCTGGTGATGGGGGTGCTGGATCTGGCGGTGGGAAATTCAACGCTGCGCCCTGAGGGGGCCGAGACCGCAGAGTTGCAGGGAACCTTTGTCCCTGAGGTTCCAGTCTGGAGGCCCAAGGCCAGCCCTCCCCAGGAGCTCCACGCAGGCCGCGGCCCAGAGGGGCCTCCTGAGCTGCCCGCAGTGCCGCAGGAGGCTGAGTTGGAGCCACTGCAGGGGCTGCGGCACCTGAGCAAGCGGGACATAGGGGCCGTGGGGCTGGCCGAGCCCTGGGCAGGGAAGAACCATCTCGGAGACCCTGCAGAGCCCAGGTACCTGGGCCGCAGCTCCAAGCAGCTGGCCAGCATGCCTGAGGGCAAGCCGAAGGCCCCTGGAGGCCCGTGGCTGCAGGTGCTGGGAGGGGGCTTCTCCCACCTGGACATCAGCCTATGTGTGGGGCTCTACTCCCTGTCCTTCTTGGGGTTGCTGGCCGCCTACACCTCCTTCCGGGCCAGGATGAGAGCCCTGAAGGGCCACTCTAGCCACCCTGCAGCCTGATGGCACAATTCAGGAGGGAACCAGAAAGGGAGCTGCCTCCACGGGGCCCTGCTGGCCGCTGCCCCTTTCTGTCCCCTCCCAGCCCTTGTTCCTTGTCCAGCCAGGATGGCGGGAAATACAGGGAAACCAGTTGCTCCGATGGACCTCCCTGGGT